TGTCGTCAAATTGTCTTGTTAGTACTGTTGTAGATAGAAACGTGAACTCCTGCAAGAAAGTAGCCATTGTCATCTTGTTGGACTCTGCGTATACTGTTTATACTATCTCATATTATCTCATTGGGGAAGGGATTTTGGAAGTAATTGTAGAAGGCTTTATGTTCAAATTGTGCGTCGATGGCACAATGGTAGAATACTCGCCAACCATGCAGGTGGTTCAGAGTTCGATCGTCAGCCAACGACGCACCACTTTACTTCGCTAAGACGGTAACAAGACTGATAAAGAGGGAAAGTTGGGCATGAGACTGGCAACCCCACGCCGTAAAATTAAACACTGCTACTGAAACTTCAAGCCTCTAGTGTGAAGCCCTATGTTCCTCTGGGAATTTAAAGGTATAAAATTTATGTACGGATACCTTATTTGACATGCACCTTATGTGATCAGAAAAGTATAAGGCATGAAACTTCTAACTTGCTGAGAAACACTAAATAAGCCTCCATTTTAATTCTTTCATGCATTAATCTATTGTTGTTAGTTTTCCCGCTTCCATTTCAAACTTTTACGTTCATATTCTTATTGACATGATGATTATTTTTTGAAAACTATGGAGGAATTACTTTTATCTTGTTCTGTACCTTCGTTTAACTCCTGTAATGACCCTAAACAAATTGCCTAGAAGCACAGTAGAAGCACTTTGGATGCAGCTGCCGTCTTATATCATAACACTGCTTCCAGTCTAGACAAGGGGGCTAAATTAAGACTATACATACTGCTTTTGACTCGGTCCCTAGGGACATCTTATTAAATAAACTTGCTGCAAGTCAAACAGAATGTTGGGCTGTTAACTGGTTACATTCCTCTTTCTCAGAAAGAAAGCAGTACACCATGTATAAAGGGAAGTCTTCCACTTTTTTGCCTCCTGAAGCTGGTGTCCCTCAAGGCTCTGTCCTTTCTGCTTTTCTTTTTTCTTTCTTCTTACATGACTTGCCTCACTCTGATGAAATAAACTTTGTGAAGTACGCTAATGATTTAACGGTTAAAATGGCTGTTAACACCCAGCTAGATTGTACCAAAATAAATAGCTTTCTGTTGGGAGTCAGGAAATGGTCTGAGTCTAACGGCCTTAAACTGAATCTTTCTAAATGTCAAACTGTTAATTTCAGCTAAAGATGTAAATGACAGTTAAAAGAAGCTGTCGATTCTCATGACAGTTTTAAGATTGGAGACAGTTATATAGGAATCAAATCAGAAATTAAGTATCTTGGACTTATTCTCTCTTCTGATCTCTCCTGGTCTTCCCATGTCTCAGCGATCTCCAGTAAAATATTCCGCCTGACATTTTACATTAGGAAGTTAGACAGCTCGGGTATAACTCAACTACCCTCCTCTTACAGTTCATAAACTCTTGCATCCTACCTATTCCTCTTTGTTGTTCACCCTTATTCTTTCCTGGTTTGTTTAAAAAGGACTATGTCACAATTCGTAGAATGCTGAAGACTGTCAGTAGGTTGAGTGGTGTCCCAGTGGACCACATAGTTAACGTCGTTGTTGATAGGCACTTGACCTCGTGCAATAAATTTGCTAGAGGGATTTTGTCTGACTTGCAGCATCCACTTTACCCTCAGCTTTCACCTTGCATCTCCTCAGGTAGAACAAGAAGTAACTTCAGAAAACTGTATGCTCGCACGTCTAAGTATAAAAATACTATGATACCATACTTGGCACGTATTCTATGTGATGAAAATAGTGTCAGGCAAGAATTATTATATGTGTAAAACTTGGGCACTGTGGTAGTAAGTAATTCCATATTAGTTTGTTTATTAGGTACATCACACAGTGAAACAGTATTATTTACTGGATGACGTTTCGAACAAAATTTTTATTGTTCATAATCATATCAGTTGTGATCACACGACTTTGACACTTGAGTTTTATAGCTTTCTTTGTTCTCTCCAATTTGTCGTCGAAGGAGTAGTAGAATTTTCCAGATCTCCAACTGGACAAGTGTTAAATCATTCCTATTAGACATGTTTGCAGTTGATTCAATGAACAAAGCTTCTGTTATCAATCTCTCCCTCCACTCTGTTGTTACATTCAATTTTAAAACTGTCATCCTATCCCATCCTATTGTATGGTTGTGTGTGACTGCATGTAGTACTATAGCTGAACTATTCTCTAGATTTCTTGTCTTATTCGGGTCAACCAATCTAGATTTTGCTAAGTTCTTATGTTCAGCTAGTCTGACTGCTCTGTTCTACTAGTTTGACCTAAGTATTTGACCTGACAATCACTTCACACAGGGTATTAGATAAACTAAATTGTTTGTTTTAAAGTCTCTACAGGATCTAATTGAATTTAAGATTTTTCCTGTCGATTGATTGAGACGAAGTGCTGGGTCTCAGGTTGACATGTCGCTTCTTGAGCAGATGCTTCGACGATGTCTGGGCATTTAATTAGTATTTAATTGGAGGATGGTGACTAGCAGTGGAATCACTGAGAAATGCAGGTACATCCAGATGACGAGTTCTAAATAGGACGGAATGCGCATCCTGTGATCACCCGAGAATTCTCTGTGTGATTAATTTTATTTACAATTTGAGGAAATTAGGTGCAATATTGTGAATAATGCTGAAAATTCCATTCTGTATTACAAATACTGTTTTTGGAATGAAGTAAAGCATTATTATTATTATAAGAGCCTTCTAAAAACAGAAATGAGATGTAATATTTGAAGTGACAATGTCAAAATTAATCAATTTTTTGCTCGCTGTCTAATTTTAAATTATCTAATCTGTCGATGTTTTAGTTCATCAGATTTTGTTAGTCCAGACTTTGAATGGCTTTTAAGAGGATTTAATACCATAGCTAAATATTTAGACAATCCATAAGAAGAAGAACCTAACCTAGTAAACTGCATATTATCACCGATGATATTCTTAAGTGTGGTAAACTGAATTATGCTCCAGAGTATGCTGATGAGCGAGGAGATAGGAGTACGCTGGACGACCGACAAGAAGACTCTAGAAGATTTGAATTTACAGATGATGTATCTCTACTGTCACACAAACTCGAAGACTTACAGGCGAAAAACAACAAACTTGCTGAAGAACCTGGTAGGCAGCGAAGACAGGACTTCAAGAGAACATAAAGAAGGTGGAGGTGGTGAAGATAATCAACGAACAACCACAACAACAGCTAGTACCAATCAACATCAACGGGAGAGATTTGTCAGAGATTGATTCCTTCACCTATCTAGGAAGCTTCGTTTTAACTATAGGTGGAGAGGATGAAGAAGTCAAAGCCAGCCAGGATCGGAAACGTACGATACACCTTCATCAACCTGAAAGCAGTTTGGAAATCTGCAACACTGGTCAGAAAATTGGCATGCACTTCACGAAAAGGATTTCCAACAGACTACAGCCGACTTCTATCAGCTGCTGACTTCGATGGCTCCATATTGAAGATCAAATGGCCGGCTAGGAAGAATTAGTGACAAGAAATTCTGGCTGGGAACAAACCAACTAAGAGACTATCTCTCAACAAACATGTAAGAGAAAGTGGAGATCAATTGGACATTCATTGAGGAATCCGTCGAATTATATCGCGCGTCAGGCAATCGAGTGGAGTCCCAAAGGGAAGCGGCGAGTGTGTTGTCTTCGGCTGACATGGTGGAGATCGTGTCGAGAAGACATGATAGATTATGGGCAATTGTGGACCCAAGTGAAGAGGACGACAGAAGATGGGACAATGTGGAGATGTGTTGTTGAAGCTGTATATTCCACTCGGAACTCAACGGAATAATAGTAATAATAAGTAGGTTAATTTATAAAATCAACTATAAGTCTAATAGGGTATCCTGACTTTTGACCGTTAACAACACCATACATCCTACTGAGGTTATCAGTTTCTTGCATTAAATCAAACCATTTGGACTCACCTAGAAACAGCTTCATTTGGCGTATCAGGTCCGCTGTGAATTTCTTAACCTTATGCGTAACGGTGTCTAATGATTGCTTAATTTCCTCATATGGTTGTGTTTGTATGTGAGTATTCACCTTCTTCAAATAGTCTTATTTATATAAGATTGTGGTGAAAGCTGTCTGCAAGTCAAAATTGCAGACAACAATTTACATCAATGGTACGTTTCGAATCGAGGTTATGAGAAAAAAGCAATTACAAAGCTTAACCTTGAGGAACTCGACAACCAGTTACAGCAGACTTAGCGTGTGCAAATACGATTCGCAGATATATGGCTTAAAATTCTGGGAAACGGTCACAAGCAGTGCAGAATAATCTTCAGCAGGAAAACAACTAATGAGAAGACGTTGCTTCTCCACTGACAATCATGTACATAAAAATCTATAAATATCTGTTGATTTTTTCAATAAACGATCTGTTTCCTGGCCCTTGCCTTATGTCGTCAAAATATTACTGTCGTATTTCCATTGCCCGATTTAGTGATTACTATATCCTTGTTATTCTTAAGGTGTTTTAGGGCTTCTGTCTCTGGTCGAGAGAGAGAGAGATAATCTTGTATTACAGGCTGGAAATTGCATATTGCTTCAGAAGTACTCTATGGACTGAAACCATTATATTACTACTATTATTATTAACAATAATTTTGGAATAAAACTAATCTGACAAGAGTTGGCTGTATTTGCAAAACGTTTAATTAAAGAATCGTTAACGAACCACCTGTTCACAGGTCTTTGTATTCACCAACATTATCTGCATTGAACTAAACATAATCGGCTGTCACAATAAAAGCATATCTGAAGAACTGGTAGGTGAATCATGCATGATTATAAAAAATGATAGGTACAATTGAAAACCTTTTCAAAATCAAATTAAAACTGAGAACGTAAAACATTTATTAGCCAGTTAGTTATATTAGGAGTAAAGGTCAGTTTTTGCATCGATTTGCGTGCAATGTACTTGTCATTTCGTTAGTTTGAATTACTCAAAAGGTCATTTTGAAGTGATTAACTTGATCACTTAATACTTTGTCCAATATCAAATATGGTATTCCAATATTGATGGCTGACAGCAGAAGGATGAGCGTCAGATGCACACAGAATGCAGCCAAGTAGTAATTGTCATTAACTATTCTGAACTGTGGTCTACCCAATGCTGCTTGACCCCAAAGTAAAACACACTAACAGATATTGAAGATGAAGAAAGGCAAAAGTGGAGCAAGTAATTGTCAGGAAATAATTTTGTATGAGATATTTCTCAACAATGAATACTGTAAAATACCTTCGCCTAAATTTGTTTTCAATTTAATACATTGGTCCACGCATCTCTGATCTACACAAATGCAATTAGTAGGCCTAGGTTAACCGATATCTGACAAAGTCGTGAACTGTTTACATAACCATTTCTCATTTAATTTCAAGTGTTGGTTTTCAAGTTTGATCATGATAGAATCACTGAAAATCGACTAGGAAGTATTGTAAAATACACTGCTTCGTCCTTGTTTGGCACTCTTCACCACTACGTACCCATGACGTTGTTAGGGGTCGAACGCAAGAGCATTATATTATACGGTGATTTGTTGGTCGTTTGACCACTCGGCGATCGAATCTAATGGCCGGTCTATTGATTGGTATTTAATTAGGTGATGGTTCTAGAGTCAGGTCGACTTCGTTTAAGTCATTTTCGAAAGTGACCCAGTGTATCTGTTGCATTTTTAATATATTGATTATCATCCACCAATGAAGTTACTTCATTAAGTGACACGAAACGCAAGAATGAATCATTTGAAGCTGATACCTTCTCACTTTATTCACTGATAATCACACACACTCAAAAGTTTATTTATGCATATACATATACTTTAGGTAACATAAATAGATAACTAAAATTGACTATCATAAGAAAAGACGACTTACAAGGATTACTAATGCAGTGAATCCGATGCTGACAATTGCCAGTGCCAATTTATCCTAGAACAAGATTTGACAAGGCGTTAAGCGATTTCATGTAATAACACCAAGTGCTGTTAAGCACAAAATATACACAAACACATAATGGAGGAAATTTCTAGTTCAGGTGGATGATTTTGATGTAATTGTGTTCTCTGAGATGGACAGATGATTCGTGAAGCTTTCATTACCCTACTAGGCAACATTCGCATCATAGCGCATACTTCAATTTGAAGTGAGATTTTAAAATTCTCCACGAGTTTATAAGTCAACCCCGCTGGTAACCATGAACGTAAAATTGGTTGTTTTTGTGTGTTTTCACACCGTCTAGGGTAATTGCCTTTAGTGAAAAGCCTTCAAATAGATGACGAAGAAGTAATGGTCTCCTTCAACGTCACATCATCAAATACATCAGATGGACAGAAACTAGCAAATGAAACTGTGGAGCAGTAACTCAGCAACGACGAACACCTTCCACAACCATCAAAAAGACAAAACGCAGGTTGGATGGAATGCATAAACCTGTACCTGACAACGTACTTCTAATTCAACGGCCAAATATAAGAACAAGTCAAAGGAACACACAGGAGATCGCCAATATCAGGTTTGGTCGCAGAAGATGTGATGCAAAGACTAGAAAACATAATCCTAACAAAGATCGAACTCAAAATTTGGATACGTTGGGTAGGTAACACATTTGCGACAATCAGAAGAAAGAACTTGGTCAAGACTTACCACTTAATAAACAACATCGTAAACGACATCAGGTTCCCGGTATAAGAGGCATCTGAGGACAAAATTCCGTCAAGTGAACAACCACAGAAACTGAAGCTTACAGAAAACCAACTCACGAAGGACAAATACTCAATTACAACAGCAACAACGCAGTAGCACACAAAAAGAGGTGAATACGACCATTATTCAAGAGAACCAGGCAGGATTTCAGCACTCATAACCTGAGGAAAATACAAGAAAAATATCTCATGGACGTCTTCCAAAGGAACGGATATCTACGGAATTTCATCAAAAAGCCAATCTAACATATCAAAGTCTCTCAAGGAAAGCACAGAGAAAATCGCCATACCATATTAAAGGACATCTTAGAAATCAATGCAAGACTCTTCAAACCTTTAGGATTTGACGTCGCACACAAACCAAATAAATAAATCAATTCGGCTGGCTCAGTGTCAACCAAAAGACTCAACAGCGACAGGTGATGAAACCAACATCGGTTGCGAAAACACTATATTTTTCAAAGTAGACGTCCATTTTGTCTTCGTATCCATGATCATAAGCTAGCCATCAAAAGACATGACATCCACTCAATCGCTCATATCGCTGCATACAGAAAACCACGAAGATCAATTTAACTACGACAACGTTCGAATATTAGACAGCGGAAATACCAAGAATTCAAGAGAATTTTTCGAAGCCTGGTATTCCAGTGAATCGTCAAACAATAGACACATTGACATCGACAGGATTTCCCCGTCCATGAGAACGAGATCTCACACACAAAGGTTCAAAGTTCAGGTCAAGGAAGCAATCAATACCAATACACGCAAGCTAGAGGATGAGAAAATACACTGAAACAACCAATCACGACGTCCAATGTCACCGGGAGAGGTTACCAATAAACTCGTAGAGAAATTGAAGAGCTCAATTCAAATTGAACTATTCGCTGAGGATGTTGCGTAGTATGGCTATGCAAGCTTTGCAAATAAAATACCCAGCTCAGAGAACACAATTACAGCAAAATTCACAAATATATTGGGGTTAAAACTGTTTGATGGTGTTGTTAAAGGTGTACTGGTTAGTGACTTAAGGTTAGAATCTGACCATGACCTGCAGCTGACATATGCTCAGGTATAGAGCGGGGTTAATGCATCTCTGATAGTTTATTCGAGTCTTGCCCTAGACCGGAATTTTCACTTCACCAATCGTCATTACCCATTACGTGTGTATGCTTGCTTAAATCCCTGAGCTGCTTAAATCACCCATCCATGCAAATGCCTTCTATTTTTCTCCGCTTCATATTGTCTTCATTACCTAAACACCACTGTGAATCACGGTCTGTACACGTGCATATTTTCAAGTCAGCTTTTAACTATCCGTGTGAATCTTATCGGAGGAAATGAATGAAAGGGATCGTGGAAGGAACAACACTGCTTCAGGTGATACACTATCGGTTTTAATTATGGACTACCATAGGGATTTAGGCTTATTTCAGTATAGATATCTTTGCAGGTCAACTTCATTTGGATAGATCACTAAAAAGCTGGGGATACTGTACAGCTGTCTCGTCTTAGTCCGGGATTCTTCAGCAGTCCACACCCATGGCCCTATCAGGTATCAAACGCAGGAAATTCAGGCTGTGAGACCAAGCTTGGTGACCATATAGAAATTTGTGCCTGAATCCAGTGATCCGTGATTTCTGACTGTCTGAACTCGTGATACAATGTAACCCCCAACTGAAGCCTTTGAATCTCACTGAATTGACGTTGACATGATGGAACCCACTGATCAGAACTTCTCAGTTCAGCTTCAGAACATCCATCCAGTAGGCATCAATGGGCTGGAGACTAATATTGAAATTATGGGCACAGTTAAGTTTCATAGGTCAGTAAATTCCAACTCAAGTGTCCGTATATACAGCGAGCTTCGTGTCATAATTTTATAGTCCCCGTTTCAATCCCTGGCGTCGACTTGGTTTCCAGCTACAGGAGAGTCCTAAACTAAGACAGAATAGATGCCCAGTGTCCTCTGGTTTTCAATGGTCTCTGAATGACTTAATTCTTGAAGAAATCAACGCTGAAATATTGGCAAATATCAGGTTACGTGAATATTCTGCATTAGGTTAAATCATCTTACAATGAAACAAGCTGGAAATTCTGTGTTGTGTTCTATTTTGGCACTCCTCAGTGGTACTCACCCACTGAGATTCGGACACAGAAACTTATGGCCAGATGGCGGGCTTGTAGACCATTCAGCAATTGGGACGCAATCCTGGTGTCAACTGTAGGCAATCAAATCTGCTGAAACCAACACTTAGTATTTACATATATGTCTCTGAAACTGGTTTGATATTCAAGTATTGGTTTGTTGGGGTTTGACTGATTGGTTACAGAAATTCCTCATGAGCTGACACTGGTTAGAGAAGTAAGATGAAACAGCTGTACAGCACTACCAGGTAGGTTTCCCAATGGTTCTCTAACCGATACCAGTTGACGATGAAATCCTGTAACCAATATGGTTTGAGTTGTCACTCATTCCCTTATCTCTTTGGAAAAATTAACTCAAATAAAAACTTTTGAGGAAATTTGAAGATAATGAGGTAGTTTTGGGTTTTTCAGTTGAATAAGGCAGTTTTGGAATTAAATTTTGTGGAGTTTCAGGGTTTCTAAGGTTTTGGCGACGTGTCTTGATTCCTCAGACATTTTACATTATGTTACCTCAAAAATTAAATCTAACTTGGTAAATAATAAATTATGAGCTGAACCATTGAAAAACCAGGGAGTACTGGATAGCTGTTTCGTGCTAGTTTGGAACGCTTGAGTGTTTTGCACCTACCAGGATGCTAACTCATGACCTTCTGATTACTGATGGAAAAAGTGTAATTATTTCATTTTATCTTAAATTTATTACAGACATAAAATATTTCACATTTTCATTGTTCACTTACAAGTCCTGTCCCATAGTGGACACCAATTGAAACAGCTAAAGTTAAAAGCATGACAGTAAAATGGTTTATGGCAAATGCAGTGTAATAAGGGTACAGATCAATTGGTAGTGTTGCGCCGATTGTGATTAGTAAGATGTACAACACCACAGCTGATCCCGTCACTATAAGTCCCCATGTAAGCGTTTTCCCAATGTACGGTATTCCTGTGAGTACAGATGCTAATATCGTCTATAAAACAGAAAATCATAATGTTTGAGTATACTTGAATATTATTTTGATCAAAAAAATATACTATCTGTCTCCTTATCATTTATTATCATTCTTGAAGTTCCCCGGGAGGACATCTGGCTTCAAACGTTTTGAACGTGTCAGTTGGCATTTCGCTGTTTTTATGAGGTAAGGTTTTTTGACATGGTTGTGTTCTCTGAGCTGGATAGTTAATTTGCAAATCTTTCATCACCCTACTAGGAGACATCCTCGCCTCAGTGCATACTTCAATTTGAAGTGAGCTTTTAGACTTCTCCACGAGTTTATTAATCATCCCTCCTGGTGACCTGATCTTAAACGTGATTCGTTGGTTTTGTGTATTTTCACATCCTCTGAGCTGCTTGTATTGAAACTGATTGTTTCCTTGACTTGAATTTCTACTCTTTGTGTGTGTGAGGTTTCCTTCTTATTGATTGGTAAATTTTGTTTATTTTGATGTGTCTACGGATTGATGAATCACTGGTACACCAGGCAGGCTTCCAAAAATTCCCTGCCATTCTTGGTATTTCCTCTGTCTAATATTTGAACGTTGTCCCAGTTGAATTGATGTTTGTGGTTGTCTGTATGTACTTATATGAGAGATTGGATGTCATGTCATGACATTTAACAACCGATGAGAAAGAAACCCCACACACAAAGTTCAAGTAAAAGAAACAATCAGTTACAAAACAATTAGCCTAGAGAGTGTGAAAACACACAAAAACAACCAATCACATCCAAGGTCAGGTCACCAGGAGAGGTGACTTATAAACACTCGTGGAGAAATCTAAAGATCACTTCAACGAATTGAAGTATGCGCTGAAGATTTCGCCTAGTAGGGCGATGAAAACTTTGCAAATAAACTATCCAGTTCAGAGAACACAACCACATCAAAATCATGCAACTGAGCTACAAATCTTCTCCATCATATCTTTAGGGTAAGGTTGCTAGACTCCCACTCAGCCTTCCCTCTGTCCCAGAGTTACTATCTCCTGACAAGCTGAGTGATGCTCCTAAAGGGCACCGGACAGGAATCAAATCCGGATCTTCCGTGTGACTGCCGATCATTTCATCACCGAACCACTGACACAATCTTCATATCATGGCGCGATACCTTGAATGAAGTGTTGGTCGGGAGCGATTCTATGCGAGCACTTATGACTTATAACCAGCCTTCATCATGATTGTTGTCCTAATATGGTGTCACATTCTGTTTTAGTGAATAATGCCTCAGATGTCATCCAGAATTGTTAGTCACATTAAAACGGAATATTTTGATATGACTAAGGTATTTCAGTGATGTGAAACATTCCTTGGAATATAACATAGTTCTACACTCGATATATATCTAAAAAGCCAGCTGATATCTCACAAACAATTTCATGCAAGTGTACTGCCAGTTTCGATTGTATGATTGTCAGTTATACACTGATACTGTGGATTTTTGACTTTAAAACTGATTGCGAATTGGAATGACTAATCCTTCACAGTCTAGAACTCGATTGTTGTAAATTTCTAACATCAACTAATTTATGAATTATCAAAATCTCATTGATTTACTTTCCCGCTGACTGACTGAAACTAAATGCTTGACTTCAGGTTGAGATGTTGGCTCCTTGTGTGTAGATGTTTTGCGATATCTGGGGATCAATTTCAAGCAATTTGGTGGATAGTGACTAGTAGTGGAATCCAGGAGTTGCACCTCGTCCACTTTGGGACTCGTCATTTAGACGCGTCTGTATTCCGCAGTGAGTGATGGTGACCCCACAGGAGCTCAATCCCAGTAATCGTAAGTTCAAACGCCAGAGCGCTACCCATTAAACCATTCGGGCCATGAGAGCTACCTACTGTGCAACGGGTGTCAGCAGTTATTCAATTTAATTTGGGAAAACTATGACTGTGTAGGGAATGCTATTACATCCAGTTGATGAGTCATAACTAGGACGAAATGCTGGTCATGGATTCCCCTGTGCGTCACTATCCACGAAGTATTTCTCAGAACTATCTACTTTATTGCGAGCAAGCTGAAAAATATATTTCCCAAAGTTCCCTTCAATTGGTATTATTATGACTAATCAAATATTTGGAGATATTAGATGCTTCAGATATTACTAATCTAACAAAAGTTATATATATATAAATGTTTGCAAGAATAATAAATTTATACATTCATACATGTAACATCAGAAAGAATAAATCTAATGGAAATTTTGTTCCCGTCGTATCTAATGTGAAGAAGAGAATCAACACTATCGCCTCAACAGGCCCACTGAAATGAAGAGAAATCAGGGCATGGATATATCGGATATATGATTGATAAAAAAAACGTGAAATTAAGAATAAACATTTATGAATTAAATGATTTTGTATGAATAATGTTGGGGCGATCCTGTTAACTTATTATCAGAGTTGCTTTGGATTCCACTGTGTTATGTATGATCTATGTCGCCAGTTGAAATGAACTTGTCACCAATTGATATGATAGCGTCGACACCTGGTTTGACCAAGTGGACTCATACACGTGGGGATACGGTACTACCAACGCAATGAGCAACTCAGGTAATCTGATAAGTACATGTATTCACTCGTGGTACCTTGCGGTTCACTGAGCCACGTAAATATGAGAACAAAAGACTGACCTGTGTGACTGTTAGTATGCAATTGTATTAGGGAAGCGTCCGTCATATTTATATATTTTTTATAAACATATTAAAATCCGCCAAGGGCAGCGGAAGTGGATTGTTCTCATTCGTAGGCGATTCAGCTAACGTTGGCGAGAAATCAATATTCTGATTGACTGGTGATTTGACCAAGACTAAGGTGAGAAAGGGATGATGACATTCGACAGTCATCCACGACCACATGATGAATCCTATGATGATTTCTGTTTTAAGACGATTCCTATGACCCTGTCTGATGTTATACATCCTTCGATTCGCTAACTATTACACAGAAGAAAACCTCATGCAATTGTCAAAATGCCGAAAAATTATGGAAACGCCGAGGGCTGTATAGTAGTCCTGCAGCTAATGAAGTGCTTGACTTAGGAGACTCCTTCCATTGCCCGCTTTTGAGAAGTTTTCAATGAGTTAACTAACTTGCACGTGGAATTATCACTTTCTCATTCGTAAGGAAAACTGCGAACCTATGCGTCTCAGTGTTTTAAAATTTCACATGATTTATCGCGATTTATTATCTGAAAATGCGTTGTATTTTGTGGCGATATGGACTGCAAAATGCATCATCGTTAATTTGTAGAGCATACCACTTTCATTTCATCCCATGAGTTCTTTGGAGACATCTGAAGAACTTTGGCCAACTCATGCGTTTCCCTGTATTCCGACCGGAGATTTATTACTGTGAATATTCATTAAGTAGTTACAAGAGCCATGCGTCTTGTCTATCTTTTGATGCAAAGTGAATTCTACCAGATAAGTTTGTAATGTGGTCATCAATTTAGGTGACTCACTACCGTGATTCACTCTGAAATGTTGATAGATAGTTGGAAACAGTCGGCAGGACGCCACGGACCTCGGTTTCATGTTTGTTGGCACTCATCAAATGGACATTTCCGAAATATTAGATTAGCTCACTTTCTCTCTAAGATTCGAACCCGTGTCACTGAGTGCTGCAGTTAGTGACGTTGCCAGTGAACCTTACTGATAAGTCATATTAAGTACGAAATCTAGATCCAGTGTTTCCTGCCTATTTCCACCAGTCATCTGACTTCAATTCAAGGATGTATTAGGCTAAGTGAAGTTTAACAATCATGTCCAGTCAAAAACAAGCCAAATTTGTGCTAAAACCTTTGAAAGATCAAACTTGAGTTTCAGAGAGTGTGATGCTCTTTCCATTAGCTGTTTCTTTCATCGAAGGTAGACAGCTCTCAGATATGCATATCGTTCTCTGTCTTGTAAACGACTGAACACTTCACTTTCATCTATTTCCGTCTGACGTGATATCATGTTTAAAGTATAGTTTACAAAGGATACTTAAACACAAACATCACTAAGCTTGAGACGTCAGTATCACAAATCAAGTGAATCTATGATCTGACAGAAACAATAAAATCACTCTATAAAATAAAACATTAAAAGAAAAACATTCTGAAATGGTAAATGCATTGGATGGCAAATTCTCAGTACACAGTGATGGATAGGAGGTAAATCGGCAGCGAAGTTGATTCCGTTTTTGGTCTGAAAAGTAAGCAGTTAGTTATTCTGGTCGACCTACATTTGTGTCATTGCAAGTGGTATGGGTGTAGTGATGATGGACATCAGAATAACGAATAATAGTACCTGTAATTAGCGGGCAACTTCATCAAGGAGTTACGTAGGCTTACTCTTTTCGTGTACTTATCCATAATTTTTTGAATTGTAACGTATATATTCAATGCTCTTCTAATACTCTTCTTATCTCCACTGACAATTCTATCAAATTCTGGAATGATGAATAAATTGATATTCATTTTTGGAATAAAAGTGTATACTACTGATTGATTGTAGTGAGTAGCTGCATGACACTCATATCAACTAGCAGTGCTTGCTAGTTAGGTTGAGGTGATCAATCCACCGAAAAGCCGTTTTCCTCATTTGGGGCCATGCTCATCAGCGGTGTATCCAGTTTGACTCATCTCATACAGCCGAATCAATTCAAACCACTGGATCTCCGAATAGCTACTTAGGCGAACTGGTGTTATCACAAGTCAAATTTGCCTCTTCTATGTGTGTCTACCAGTTTGACTGCAGCTGCGGAGCCAGCTACATTGAGCGTACAATTAGGCAGTTTCATCGTCGTATTTCTGAACATCATCCAGCGTGGTTAAGCAAGGGACAAACAAGATTTATTCGTAGTTCTATTTTAGCACACCTTGTTGATACTGAGCATAAGGTTGATGTGAATAGTGCATTTAAAATTATTTATCGCATTCCGACTAATCTTAACTTTGCTCTACGAGTTCGTCTTCTACAGACAGCTGAAGC